GGCAGCCATATAAACTTGATAGAATGAATGAATGAATGAATGAATGAATGAATGAATGAATGAATGAATGAATGAATGAATGAAATTCTTGTCACTTATACACCCAGACAGATTTCTTGTTCTTTCTAGTTTATGGCAACCTTGAGCATGAAAGATATAGCACATTTTAATAAACTATGCAATAAGAAAAGAGGGCTATTACTGAGCTGGCAAAGGAGAAAAAAGCTGGTGACTTAAATAAAAGTCTTCTGGAAAGAAGAAAGAGAAGAGGTGGCAGTGCTCTGGGTGGCTGACCAATAAGGTCTCTCGCCAGCGTTGGCTATTGACTGTTTGATGTTTCTGGGGCTGCCTAAGGGAAAACTGTTGAGTTGATGGTGAAGGGAAGGTCCAAAGACCCACATGGGACAAAGGAATGCTGTGCTGATGGCCAGAAAATAGAGGGCAAGCACATCCTGCCAACCAGAGAAAGCAACTTGCAACCCAAAGGAGAAAAATGCCAGCCACCGCAAATAAGCCCTTTACTTGTTTCTTAAGTACAAACTAGGAATACAGAACAGAAGTACCAATGCTCAGATTTAGCCAACATTCTAGACTGCACACATGACAAGTTAGACTTTACCAGAAGAAGGAAGCTTCATTTTGCTTGTAGAAAAGAAATTTTGCTTCTCAATTTCTGGCAACTACTGTATATTATCTGTTGGTTCTATATTGCTTTATGTTTTTATTGGCGCTTGGCTTTTTATCAGTAAGAAAGGATGGAGAGGAGAGAGAAAGGAATTTGGCTTGTTTAGTTAAGATGCTGTGATGAAACACTGCCTGGAACGGAAACCTGTTTTGCTCTGCTGTGTTAATGCAAAAGCAAAAAGGGGGAAGGGGGAATCACAAGAAATGAGCGTGCTGCATCTTGGATCAAATCCTATGAACCCAAAAGCCCTCATAAATGTGTGTGTGTGTGTGCATGTGTGCACTTCATCTGAGAGGGGATACTCCGTGTGCCCACAGTCCATGAAGTGACCCTTTTGGTGTCTCCACCATGTCTGTGGGTCTGGAAGCCATTGGACATAGTTTTGATTCACTGAGGGCTCAGAACCTAATTGGCGGTCACGCTCTCCCTATTTGTCAGTTTGTTTAATTATTTTTTACTTTCAAACAGAGATTTTAACATGCTTTTCAGGTGGATATTTGGGGCTGAGGAATTATTTGGCTGGTTCTCTTTGTTGTATTTATTGTTAATCACCTAGAGTGGTAAGATATGGGAGTATATCATTTTTTGTAATCTGGTTAAGCAGGCTGAATTAATACAGAGCTCATGAAGTTCAGATTCCACTTTTGCCTATTATCTATAATGGTTGGAATCTGGGCACTAAAATATCAAATTGTCAGATTTGTTAAAACAGATATTACTGTTAATTGCAGAATGTTACCTTTTAGCTTTTAACAGATCCTGCAGCTGCAAAAAGCCTTGGTCGCTATTATTTATTTTATTTATTTATTAAATTTGTCTCCCGCCCATCTTCTCCCAATGGGGGACTCTGGGTGGCTCACAACACATTAAAATAATAAATAAATATACAATTAAAACCTATAATACACAAAAATAAAAGGGAAAAAATCCAGGAGGCATTATCCGCAACGATCAATATTATATATTAGAAACTATTAATGCCTCCCCCAATCATTGTAGCATAATCTTCCATGTAACTTGTTTCACCAGATACATGGAATATTTTTCTGAGATAACACACCAATAGTTGAGGAGAAGGAAGAATTGTAAACAAGAATATCAGCAGTATGTGAAATACACGTGATACAAGTGTGATTATTATCTTAATTAACAATAGCAACGCACAAAATGTAATGAGCTGATTAATATATGTAGGTAGTCTTTGTAGTTGTTCTTGAAGCCACAGAAGATAGAACCTCGTGATCAATTATTTTTAAACCTCTGTAATTAGGTACGTAAAGCTATTTTATTTTCTCTTGCTGCCAAGTAAATATTCCATTTTTATCTCTTGCAAAAAAGCTTAAAATTCACAAAAGCCAAACCATCATCATCATCTAAATTTTTTTTTAAAACCTACATTTCAGATTCTACTTTATTCAAATCATAGAGTTTAAATGAATAGGATACCTGCTACAGACAACATGTTTACACCATCCTTTAGACTAAGATAAAATGAGATTAGTAGCTTATGCCTGAGTGTACCGTCAGTACTGGAATGGCAACTACACTCAGAATAAAACTATATTCAGACATGTGTATTCCAACATGATGGATGATTCTCAGAACTCTCTAGAATCCAACTCCATCAGGGTTATAAATTAAATTAATATAAATTAAAATAATCTCCATCTATGTAACCTACATAATGATGTTGAACCAGATGAGGATATTCTCCTTTTAAATCTGAATTGTCTCTGAATGAAGTGAGAATCACCCTCTAATTCCAACAGCCAGAACATAGTTCTTTTCCATAATTCTTTCCATTGTTGTATTGTAACTGTTTCTTTAAAGTTTTGCATCCATTTTTTTGTTTGTTCTGTTTGTCTCTGTATATCTAAGTAAGAGTTTCTATATGCACCTTAGTAGGTGGTGCTGGTTTGGCATAAGCATTTCAAATTCGGGGGGGGGGAGTTCCCTCCTTCTTCTTAATGTAATAGCAGTACAATGGAGATTTTAATATTAAGTAATTAGCATAAGATTGAAAACATTATCATAAAATCAATACTTTGATGTGAGTTGCAGCATTTTTTTTAATGCTACATTTAACTTTGGATGAAAAAGCCAAATAATATTTATGCTTGCAATGTTGACACCCTAAATTGTAATTAATATTGATAGAATTTTTCCTTTGTTTTCTCTATTTTCAATACTTCAAGCAATCTAAATAATAGAATGTTAATAATCATATGAGCATCACTGTATTGAAACAATACAATGTATAAAGATTTATAACAATATAATAAAAAGGAAAAAAAGAAGAACCTAGCCATTTTCACAGGAAGTCTATCCCATTCCATCACGAGGGAGGGATAACAGAGCACATTGTGCAAACTCAGCTACCTGAAGTGGGAAAGTGGCACTAAGAGCATGAAGTCTCACCTCCTGCTCAGTTCAAGAAGAATTTAAGTATCCCTGATGGCTGTCCACCTGCTGCCTGAAGAACATCCACTAGAAAAGTCACCATCTCCCTTGGTAAGTAGTTCCACTCTCAAACTCCTCTTATTGCTAGGAATATGTCTGCTTTTCTGCATATTTTTTATTTTTTCAGATATACAGAGAAAGCCCAACCTATGAAATCTACTTTTTCACAAACTGTTGTCAGACCAGCCATTGAATCCAGTCCTCTCCTCAGTGTAGAATCCAGATTAAAGCATCTCAGACAGATAGCTCTCAAATTTTGCTAGAACACACCCAATGAAGACCAGCCCATCTTTTCTCTAGTTAAGCAATCATAAGGTCAGACTGCTCTGGCTTTAGGAAGCCTTTTCTAACATTCAGCCTTTCTCTTCAGACAGCCTTTCTGAAATGGATTAATAAGTATTGAACGGATTGGTTTTGATTCTTTCTCATATGGTTTTCCTTGTGACTCTTAGCTGCCTTTAGTGCTTTATCGTAGAAAAGCAGCATCTACATGGAATCAATGAAAAGAATAAACAAAGCTTTACACCTCCTCCTCCTCCTCCTCCTCCTCTGCTTCCTGATGGAGCAAGCATTTAGAAAGACGTACCTTTGTGAAAGTATTCTCCGATAGCTTAATCCCAAGCCGCCACAGGCTTCCTATGAAAGGAAGCCGAAAAGGTCCTGGTGGATAGCGTTTGCGTTCACGTGAGCTTAACTTTTTCAAAAAGTAAAAAATTGTGCCTGGAATCTTAATGATGAAAAATAATAGTTGCTTCAACATTATTCTGCCTTCTTACTCTCTAACTTTGAATGCCTGCTATATAACTTTTGGGGAGAAAGTTCTCCTCTACCAGTTATTTGCTTTCTTCTGAGATATTGTTCCTTCTTTCTCTTGGTTTATCTGCCACTATCAGCCTTTATATTCTCTACTAATTAAGACACCTTCTGACACCTCAATCAAGAAGCCCAGGAATGTGATTCTCTACGGATGTACGAGACAAATTTAATTGTCAGTGTGGTGTTAATTCTAAAACATTTGATGAGGTGTTTTATCAAAGGTCACTATAGCCCAACCCTGGCCTTGCAGATTACCAATTATAGATCATATTGTTTATGTACAACTATGTCTTTAGGAAAATGACATGGCAAATTCTTTTATTTCCAGTGTGTTCTACTGTTCCTCATCATATTCTCAAATAGCTATAAAAACATTTTTATATCTTAAGTTTTCAGATAATATTTGTGGTTGTTTATCATACTGCCCCTCACTACCCCCTAATCATTCGGTCTTTATATTTATGTCATTGACAATTACAATTATCAGCCTTGTCTGGTGTCACTCCAGCAAACAAGATTAACTTCTAAAACTTTTGCACTTCCCATAGTTCCAGGATATAACTTTTAATCCACAGCTTTGAACTTACCATGGTTCCAGAATGTAATAGGTATTAATTTGGCATGGCAAATACATCCTGATTATGACCTAGCCCAAGGAGCACAACCACAAATAGAATTGATTTTGTCTCAGAGTCAGCTGACCTCTAAATCCATAGGTACTCCATCCTGCTAGAATTATCTTAACCTGTTTCTCCCCACCCAGAATCTTATAGAATCTAGACTTTGAGACAAGACTTCCAGTGCTTCTCCAAGATGGCCTGGGATTGAGATGAATAAGTGGACATTATTAGCATATTATTATTATTATTATT